TTGTTCAAAAACCTGAGATCTAAAATCGGTCTGAGGCCGCCGTCTTTCTTGGGAACCAGAAAATAACGGCCGTAAAACCCCGACTCGGTCATAGATGGCGGGACTCTCTCTGTAGCGCCCTTTTGCAACAGCGTCGCAATTTCTGAGCGGAGCGTGTTGGCGGCCAGCGGGCTGACAGTAGATTCGAGGCGAGCGCGCGAACGAGGCGGGCGGCGGCGAAACTGTAGCAGATAGCCGTTCTTTATAATGCTTAGCACCCACGGGGAAATGCCTGGAATGGCTTCCCACGCTTTGGAGCATGCGGCTAGTGGCCGAATGGCTATATCGCCCTGATTGCTGCACAAAGCGGGCTGGACACAGTGTGTGGGCGCGCTTTGACTGTGTGTGGCAACGGGACTTACACTCAGAGAGGAGTCTATGGGCCGTGAAACAGAGCGAGCAGAGAGGGGACACGCGCATGAGCTCGTGGGCGTGTTTATGTTCTCTGATACTAGAGCGGGCTGTGCCCGCTTCATGTGGGGGGCTCTGAGAGAGACACGGGATATGTTATGCTTGTGTGTATGGGTGAACACATGATTGTGGGCACATTTTCTACACAACTGGCATATTTTCTCTTTTTGAGATTTCTCTGGGTAGCCGTAAAAACGGCTTTTTGTCGCTCGCAAGCGGGCTGGGACACCGGCTTGTTTGTGGCGGTAAACACTACAGCAGTCGGCGAAACAACGGGGACTGGCAGAGGGTGAAGCTTTGACGGCGGTCCGGCCGCAGCGGGAGAGCGCCGTCGTTTTCTTAACTGTGCTAGGCAGACTTCTGATGATCAGGCTTCAGCGTGATCTTGGGTCGCGGACCCCGTGGGGGCGGCGGTCTGCGGCGGCTGTCAAAGCGAGAGCGAGGGCGGCCGCCCTGTCTGCGCTGGGCTGTTTGAGTCTGCGGAGGAGGGCGCTGTGGTGGGGCTCTGGCAGGAGGCTCGCGAGAGCGGCCTGCGGAAGAGCTAGCGCGGCGGGGCAGAAACAAATTCATGGCCTGAGTGGCTTTCTGGACCTCGGAAAAGCGATCGACGATCCCCGTGACAGCAGATCCAAAAAGGCCCGTCGGGGAGAGGGGCGCGTTAAGAAACGCGGCGCACTCAGATTCTCCCATGTCGGCGAGCGTGAGCCATAAGTGTCTCTCGGATACACAAAGGCTGGCCATGCATCTCCCCAGAGCTTGTGCGGCGGCTTTAGTGGCGCGAAGGGCGAGGTCCGTAGCACTTCTCAGATCCGTGACAGCGGAGGGGGGGGTTCTACCGCTCTCGGCCCACTCACGGAGAATATCGCTCTGTAGCACCTGGAGGACAGACATAGAATGCAGCGCCGCGGCGGCCTGTACCGGCGGCGGCATAGGCGCGAGCATGAAAGCTCGATGTCCCTCTGCAAGCTTTCGAAGGAAGCGTGGGGGAAGAGCGCCATCTAGCAGAGGGCGGGCAGAGGTGGGCGGCGACCAAGTCCTCAACGGGCGGCATGGCTGAATAACCTTTTTCGGCGGCTCCGGTGGCCGAGAGTGGGGCATTCCAGGACTTCGTCAGCTCTGTGTGAAGTTCAGGCAGGAATGGGGCGGCCCGGTTGCACGCGGGGGTCGAGCGCCGATGAAAAAAGCTGCCTTCCATCCGGTTCGGGGCCTGCTCGGGTGGAGGAGACCACTCGAGACCGAGGCGTTCGACGGCCTGTGAGAGGAGGCGCATTAGTTCCTCCTCTATTCCGGCGCGGATCCCCGCCGACTCTCTCGTGGATCCGAGAGATGACCATTCCTCACTGTCTGACGCGAGCAGTGAACAGGAATCCTTCTCCTCCGCGGCGTCATCGGAAGCGACAGAGCGGCCACTCGGCGGCAACTGTATGTCCGGCTGGGGCGGGGAGGGAGAGCGGGAAGCGGGAGGCGGCGGCGGCGGCCCGCATGGTTCCGCAGGGGGCTCCGGCGGCCTCTGGGCGCGGCGTTTCTTCTTCCGCGGCGAAGAGAGAGGCGGCGCGGGAGCGGATTTAGCCGCCAGAAGTCGTGCCCGCAGGGACGACAACGGCAGGCTCTCACAGAAGTCGCATCCTCCATCAGCGAGGGCGAGTTCCGCGTGCTCGAGTCCCAGGCAGAGAGCGCAAATGACATGGCGGTCTCCGTCCTCGAGAGGAGCGCGGCAAGAGCCGCAGGCGAAGCGAGGCATCTGTAAAAAGACGCTCGCGCTCTTTTAGATAATGAGAGAAGGATACAGTCGTCGGATGGCGCTAGCTTGCAGGGCGGCTGAAGGTGGCGAAGACGGCCGGCTTCTTCAGGGTCCGGGAGCTCGCTAGAGTGATGCCTTCTCGACGGCGACGGCTTTTCTCAAGTCAGCAGAAGCGTGTAGCTCGCTGAAGATGAAATGAATCAACATATAAGCCTGGGAGAGACTGTTATATACACCATAGCCACGCCCATTCTGGCGGGCCATGACGCAATGAGCGCGCGGGCGCTTCTCATTGGCAGCGGGTTCAGCCCCGCTCTCCCATAGGCTTAAGCAGTTCTCTCTGAGCGAACCAATGAGCCGCTAGCTAGCCTGCTCAAGGTCTGCCGCAGAGGAACTGCGTTGTCAATGGATACAAATTATGAAATAATTTTTTGGCTTCAAATTCTCAGCAAAGATGAATCTTTCCCGCAGCGTAAGCTAGCTTACGCAATACGAGAGAACCTCTCGTAAGAGAACAGCTTTTTCTTACCTTTCCTCACTTTTTGTTGGAAACTCCTGGAAGGGTGGCTCGCCAATGTAAGAAAAAATAATGCGGACGTCGAAGATCTCAAAAATGAAGTTTATTACAGCATAGCAGTGGCAAGATACACGGAGCACCTTGGGTTCACCGGCGTCCAAATGAACCCCGAAATAATCTCAGCTCAAACATTTTTTACTGTATTCCATTCGTCTTCCCCCTCAGCATGTAAATGAAGTACAAGAGTCAGCCCATTTCCCCAGTCCTGATCTCATCAACATAACAGTCTCATTCCCATCTTGATGATAATCCAATCAGCCCAACTGATTCTTTTAACTTACAATAGGGAGAACAGGACTGGCAGAACTCTCATGCTTAACAGGTGACATCATCATCACAACTCCAAAGTGCAAAACACAATGTACATCACTTCAATGTAGAACGGTCAAATGTTAAGGTGATAACTTTTATTTTAAGTCCCTGTAATCAAGATGGTTCTTGATTGCCTGCTGTCGCTCCCATGCTATAAGTGATAACCGTGACTGTGCATATTACTGAGATTGGAATGAATTGTCTCTATGATAAATAAGCTCTTTTAGTGAAGGAACATTTACATATATATATTGGAGTGGAAGTTGGATCGGAGCAGACTATAATTTCTTACAGGACGCTAGGGACTTGTCCCTACCAATATCCAGTGACACTGATATATCCCTAGAAATAATTTCGATCAAAATTTAAAATATATTTATACATTGATGTCCCCGTCCCCACCAATTTCAAAATCAAACCTACGCCACTGCTAATGAGAGACAGATATCAGCGCCACATGCGAGTCCCGCGGATATAAAGGAATAAGGACATTTCATTCTACCGAACTACCCGCAAGTGCTGGATTAATACTCACACAGGTCAGTTTAATAGACGAATGAAAATTGTGAGGTAACGCAGCGCTGTTTCACTTGGTCTACACTATCACACTAAACTGCATTTGAGTGTGTTGAAAGTTACAATGTTATTCTATGTGTTAGTTTGTCTGTATGAGACTAGCAGTAAGCTAGATCAACATTAGAATAACATACATATCATATTCTAACATTTCATCATGTTGAACTATATAACATTGATTAGTTTAATGTGCATTTGCTCTCTAATAAAGTACATGCAAGAGTGGCGTCTCTGTCAAGTCGAAGTTTGTGACGGACGTGGAGCTCTCGGCATCTCGAAAACGCCACGCGTTTATTTTAATATTGATCCTCGTTTTAGTTCTCCTTTTGTCCCAAAGTTTGCTTGCCATAGTCCATAATGTTTGAACGAAACAACAACAGCGTGAGCGTGCCGCTAGACGTAACGCAGTTGTCCACGTCTGTCGCCATGGTTACTATGGCAGTACGAACGAAAACCAGGGATAACGCGGATATTACGTCATTGACAGGCGACAAGTGAAAAATCTTTGGGAACTTTTGGGATATTGTAAGTACACCCCTTCAGGAAATATATCACACTGTGATATATGGATTTATGGATATTTTATTACAAAAATCTTACATATTGTAGCTATATCAAGATAATGAGATAAGCACACCTGGAGGAGACAATCCTGTGGAAAACAACATGAAAAACTACATAAGGACTGCAAATATGGCAGACAGAACAGGAACATGAAGTATAACAAATGTTCCGGGACAAACAGACTATATGACAGCTATCAGCTAATAAAAACCAACAAAAAGAATCACATTCAGCCTCGTAGTAGAAGAGATATACCTCATAAAGGAAAACGCTTTTTGGCTTTAAAAGTTTATATTGTTCATTAAATGTACTAATTCTGGAGATGTAATATGTAAAACTACTATGCAAAAGTATGGGGTCAGTAGGATTTTTTTTTAAGGAAGAAATTAAAATTTTATCAAAAGTGATAATAAAGACTTTTATGTTGTTACAAAAAAAAATCTATTTTAAATAAATGCTGTTATACTTTCTATTCATCAGAGAATCCTGAAACAAATGTATCACCTTGGTGAGCTTCTTTTAAAAATCTTTTGAATGGTAGTGTATTTGTAAATAATGTCCTTTAAAGTTTCAAGATCTCTACCCCTGCTAAATCAATCTTCAAACTCTGTGAAAAGGCCTATACGGCCATTACATTTAACCCTCCCAATTCTAAAAATGTATTACTCTCTTGGTTCTCTTAATATTCTGTTATTTTGATAAGTTCAAATGCACTCTGATCTATCCACTAATTCAACTTTCCTTTCTCACCCTACTTCGGTCTCCCTATTCCTCACTTAGACGTTCCTGAGTACCCGTAAAGGGGCGTGGGTCATAGGTCGCATGGTCAGTAAAGGGCTTCCTCTAGACATGACGATGGTTAGACGAGTCCGAGATCTGATTTACTGCGCCCTGCCTAGATCTCTCCTCAACTGGATTGGCGAGAGAAGCCTCAATCAGAGATTCGACCACAAGCTGTATGGACTACAGCCTGAGCACAGGTGAAGGCACAAAATGTTGTTATCGTTGATGAATAAAGTAAAGCCCTGACAGTTTGTTTAAAAATTGCATCATCATTCACTGTGACCTTTGCCTATATTCTGATTCTAGAATCCTTGACAAGCGTACTGTTATCAACGATGACCTCCCAGGTCGCATTCTGGTAGGAGAACTGGTGATGAAACCAAATGTGCAGAAGTTCCAAGGCTCGACGCTTGTCTTTGATGATGGGACTGTTGAAGAGAAGATTGATGCAGTGATCTTATGCACAGGCTATGATTTTAAATTTCCCTTCCTCCCCGCCTCCTTAAACTCTGGTGCTGATGGAGATCTGAAACTCTACAGAAGAATCTTTCCTCCATCTCTAGAGCGTCCAACACTGGCCATCCTGGGCCTGCTGCAGACCAAAGGGCCGATCATGCCAGCTGTAGAACTGCAGGCTCGCTGGGCCACCAGGGTCATCGCAGGTACTGAGCAAACATGACAAGTCATGAAACATTTTTTTAACAGTTATAGGAGAAGCATATATTAAATTCATAATCATTAATCATATTTATATACAGTGTTGGGGAAAGTTACTTTTTAAAAGTAATGCATACAGTATTGCTTTTCTCCCTTTAAAAAGTAACTAATTGCGTTACTTAGTTACTAAGTAATGCGATACATAACATTTGCGTTACTTTATCTCACCTGGGCTTGGCTTGCTTGTTTGTTTGTTTTTTAATTTAAAAAAAATTATATATATGATGCTTGTTAGCAATTGAAAAAAAACTGTAATAACAAAAAACAAAAAGTCATATTTTTGGCAAATGTAAAAGCCCTTTCACACCAAAAGTGAAATGAATAAACCTCAAGCTGAAGGAAATTCAGGTTCCTGTCCTGTAGAGGGCGCAGCTCAAACAAACCTTTCAGCTGTGCTGCCATTCTTACTCCTGATTTCTCTCAACATGGTGACAGGAGAGGTGTTATTCATTAAATAAATATGCGTCATCTGTTTGTGCCTATATCAGTAAATGTATTGATGATGTCACTACCACCAGGAAGTTAACCATCTGTCCAAATAAGAAACCCAGGCTGAATGGAGAGGTGCTGTGTCTTCTGAAGGCACGGGAGTTAGCCTTTAGGAAAGTCGACGCACTTGCTCTGAGAGTGGCAAGGAGGGAACTAGAAGTTGGGATCAAGAGGGCAAAGGCTAATTATACTTGGAAAATACAGGGTCATTTTCCACCAATGACCACCGGAGCATGTGGAAGGCCATCGAGAGCATCACCGACTACAGCAGGAAAGATGTTTCACCTCACTTTCCCAGGCTGTGGTGCCAGTGTGTCTCAAGATATCTACTATCATCCCCGTGCCCAAAAGCTCAGCCATGACATTTATGAATGACTACCGCCCACTGGCTCACTCCGAGAATCATGAAATGCTTTGAACGGCTGGTTATGGCCCACATAAAGGGTACCTTTGACATTAATGTGGACCCCAGTAGTTATTACCCTACAGCTTGTGTCAAAATGATTGATGGTGACCTTTGACCTTGCCCCTCCCCTTGCCCTTCCTGTTTCCGGGGTCATGGATTAACCTTTGACCTACCCCTCCCGTTTTCCGGGGTTGATGGATTAACCTTTGACCTAGCCCTTCCCGTTTCCGGGATTGATGGATTAACCTTTGCCCTAATGAGCGTTCGATCATTTGGTTGACAGAAAGTTTTGACAGGTTGTTTTGATGGATGATTTGCCCCTTTGACCGAGGTGTATAAATATGTCATTGTTTTGGGTTTGATGGTGCCAGATGTTTTTTGAAATCCGGGGTTCCCTCCCACCCACTCTCACAATGCTAAAAAAGATCACAGATCGTGTGACACGATCCCTCCCACAAATATCTCTTAAAAGTGTATAAAATATCTTTTGACTAAAAAAGATTGCAGTGTGTGTGTGTGTGTGTGTGTGTGTGTGTGTGTGTGTCTGTGGTTGTGGCTGTTTGTGTCTGTGTGACAGTCGGGCAAAATAACATTGTTCATTCAAAATAAATACCTAACAGAACCAATCATTTCAAAACAGAAATCATTCAACATGTTTTAGAGCGATGAAATAAAATGATCTTACTTTTTCAGCCGGTTGAAAAAAGCTCTAAGATGTCCACACATTTAAGTTGTAAAAATCCCCCGAGTTGATTCTCTCTCACCAGCATCTGTCAGTGTCTCTGAATGTGACACATGATATCACCACATTCCTGAGCTCATTGCTGGGAGTGAGAAAAAGAGATTTTCTAATAATGTTGTATATTTCACACTGGCTAGAGTTGAAAAACATTGATCTTTAAAACTATATAAATGAAATGTTTATAAAATAAATATCTTACTAAATAACTAAAGTTACATTGATCTTCAAAACTATATAAATGAAATGTTTATAAAATAAATATCTTACTAAATAACTAAAGTTACATTGATCTTTAAAACTATATAAATGAAATGTTTATAAAATAAATATCTTACTAAATAACTAAAGCTACATTGATCTTTAAAACGATATAAATGAAATGTTTATAAAATAAATATCTTACTAAATAACTAAAGTTACATTGATCTTTAAAACTATATAAATGAAATGTTTATAAAATATTTAACACTAACATCCTGTTCATTAAAAAATCTTATTAAATTACTGAAGTTGAAAAGCATTCACTTCTTTAAAAGTATATAAATTAAATATTAAAATAAAATAAATACACATCTTACTGATCCAGATAATGTAAAAACCACAAAAGACATAAAAATCATACATCAATCATTATGTTTTAGAGAGATGAAATAAAAAATGATCTTACTTTTTCAGCAGGTTGAAAAAAGCTCTAAGATGTCCACACATTTAAGTTGTAAAAATCCCATAATGTTTCCAGGAGTGTTTCCCCCGATCACACAGGCATATGACAGTCTCTCTGAACGTGCCACATGATATCACCACATTCCTGAGCTCATTGCTGGGAGTGAGAAAAAGAGATATAATGTTGTATATTTCACACTGGCTAGAGTTGAAAAATATTGATCTTTAAAACTATATAAATGAAATGTTTATAAAATAAATATCTTACTAAATAACTAAAGTTACATTGATCTTTAAAACTATATAAATGAAATGCTTATAAAATATACAATATCATCCTAGTTGTAATACAAAAAGAGCACAGAGCTGCCATTGTGTCTGTTAGTGTCTGTGTGTGTGTGTGTGTGTGTGTGTGTGTGTGTGTGTGTGTGTGTGTGTGTGTGTGTGTGTGTGTGTGTGTGTGTGTGTGTGTGTGTGTGTGTGTGTGTGACAGTGGGGCAAAATAACATTGTTCATTTAAAATTATATAAAGCAGATAAAACCATCTATTTCACCATGTTGAAAAAACATGTGTTTTTCACCTTAACTATTTCACTTCCCTGCACGCTTGACCGGGGGTGTTGTGTGTATGTGTGTTTGTTTATGTACTGGGCAATGAGCCTGAGAAACAGATGCCATTATCGTTTTATTACGCTTTGAAAAATACAGCTGGTGAACATATCAGTGACTGTCCTAACGTTAAAACATCTCTGAATCTTGAAAACCTCTAAGTCAGGGGGCCCGGGCGCGGGCTTATCTGTGTGTGTGTGTGTGTGTGTGTGTGTGTGTGTGTGTGTGTGTGTGTGTGTGTGTGTGTGTGTGTGTGTGTGTGTGTGTGTGTGTTACATGAGACCCCTCCAAGTGAGGACAATATGTATCATATATTTCACACTAAAGTTGAAAAACATTATGCTCTATATAAATGAAATGGTTATAAAATTTACATCTAGTAATTTACAAATATATTATTTCACACTAACTTAAGTTGAAAAACATTTTTCATTTAAAAGCATATTAATAAAATGCTTTTATCGTTCATTTTTTAAATAAATAACTAAAGTTATTATTTTAGATAAAAATCATCCGACATGTTTTATAGATTAGAAGAATACATACAGGTTATGAACGGGTGTCAAAAATAAAATCATCTTACTTTTTTCAGCCGGTTGACGAAGTAGTTCCTAAGATGTCCATACATTTAAAGTTGAAAAGATCCCACAAGTAATTCTCTCTCCCCCTCGCTTGACAGGCATGCATTGTCTGTGTGTGTGTGTGTGTGTGTCTTTTCAGCGGTCAGAACGAGACATTGCATGTGTTCGATTAGTGTTAATCTTATTTCATAGTATAATCATTAAAAGTTTAAATTATATCTTTTAAAAATACAAGATATTTTAAATTAAATTAATTCATAAAACAAATATGCTACATCGTGGAAAAACTTGACTATATTTTTTATTTATCAGGGTACATGTAAAGAACTTTGAAATTTGGGGCTCTCACAAGTCATCTCACACATTGTGTGAAATGTTCAATAATTCCTCAAGTAGTATCTGTGCGAAAATCACCACATAGGCCTATAGTGCGACAGCACCAATGAAGACATTTAGAATCTGTGATGCCTCAGGCCAGCCCCCATTAGCTTTAGGATAGAGGGTGACAGAGCAGATGAGTCTCTGTGCATCGTGTAATGTTAGTCTGCTAACACCTTTCCAGAGCCAAAATTTTGTTCGTACTAAGATTATTTCAAATCATAATCGTAAAAGTTTAAATATTTTAAAATGAAAAGATGGTTTAAATGAAATCTTTATAGTTTTAATACATTCGTATCTTCTATTTATCTTTTAGAAGATTACTGTAAGGATTTTGTTTAACAGTGACCTAAAGTATAATTTTTATTAATATAGCCGTAATGATTTTTGTACTGTAACAGCATATTCTACCGTGTACACCTGAAAGCTGCATTTTTACATTTTCAAAATAAATAAAAATAAGTAATTTAATATAATTTCTAAGGTGTTTTGCGGCTCCATAAAATCTCTATTTTAAAATTAAATTATTATAAATAAAGTATATAACTCAATGAATAATAACACATATGCTACTAAAATGTATTCATACAAATTAAACATAGTTTTATCTTAATTAATATATTTATAAATATAAATTTTATATATAAATTACATCTATAATTATAAAAAAAACTCCTTACATTTTCATAGAACTGAAGAAGTAGTAGAATCTAGATCTATGCAATGATAAAAAACAATTCAAAAAGCAAATAGTTTAAGTTGTGATAAACAAACAAAGCCCTCCCAGATCCTTCAGTGATAAGCTACAGGGTGAGATGAAGCTTCAGACCCGCACAGAGACGGAGGAGTTACATGCCAGATGAGCCTCTGGGGCACAATTATGTCACAGCGTATGCAATGCTAGTCTGCTTTTCAGAGGTTTATTCAAATTAAATTCATTTAAAAGTATAATCTTAAAAGTTTAAATTAGATCTTTTAAAATTAAAAGACTGTCTAAATCAAATCTTTAAAGTTTTATTAAAATCATATCTTCTATTTATCTTCTTAGAAGACTTCTGTATGATATAAATGATTTGC